TATATATATATATTATAATATATTATGAAATTGAATTTCATTATAATACATTATATATAAAATTTTAATATATAAATATATAGTATATTATATATTAAATTTTGTATATTGTATATTATATATTACATATTATGTAATAAATTTTAATTAATTTGGTTTTTCGGTTAACCAAATTTCTAAATCTGAAAACCGAAACCAAAAACCGAAATTCTTAAAAACCAAATTAACATAACCGAATTAGCCAAAAACTGAAAAAAAACGGAAACCAAAATTTTTGGTTCGGTATTTCGATTTTAACCAAATAATGCTCACCCCTGTCAGTGGGGATCCCACATAACGAAGATCGAGGTCCCCGTAGGGCGGGGAGTGCTCTCCCCATCCCCGCCCCGTCCTCACTAATGGGGACGAAAATTTCCCCATCCCCATCCCTGCGGGGGGAAATCATCCCCATCCCCGCCCCATTTGGGGTGGATCCCCACGGGGATGGGGAAAATTGCCATCCCTAATATTGTATTTTTATAAATTTATTATATTATTTATTTATTCTATAAAAAACATGTATATATATTTTATTTTTTCTTTTAGTAATTTATTAATTTTTTAAAAAATAAATCAGATCAAATCAGATCCAAAGATCCAATAGGATTCAAATTCAGATCGAGTACATTGAATTTGACATGAACAGTGTCAGATTGAATTCAAATCCAATCCGATCGTTTACATCCCCTAAAGAGAGATTCTGAACTGGCAACTGGTCTAGGCGCGCTATGTACCTAGAATCATTTCGGTATTGATTTGAAGGGTTAACGGATTGACCCGACCCATTTGCATTTCTATTGGGCTACTGGTGAGTGGTGACGTGATTCCCATGAATGGCCTTTAAAGAGTACAATCGCTGGCTTTATTTGAGTCGTCCCTTGCCTTCTGTCTTGTTCTTCTGTACAAAGTAGAAGACTTGTGTGAAGGCAAGTAAAGAGGGGGGCTGGACGGGAAATACAAAACTGGGTTGGGGTGAATTGTCACCCCGTCAAACCCTATACTACTGAGTATGAAGAGCAATTTGTGCATTTTTCCATTTCAGAAGGTTGAAATATTACAAAGTTCAAGTGCTTAGAAGAGTTTTTTTTTTTTTTTTTTACCTGTAAAAGATTCATTGAAGGAAATTAAGGGAACACTTGGGTCCCTTTCTTACAAGATTCTAAGAAAAGGCGAGTTAAGTTCACCGAACTGGCATTACTATTTACAAAAGAGTTTCTTAGCCTAACTCATTTTGTCAGATCATGGGTTGGCATTATTAAGTTTCTGTTTACATACAAAATTGTAATATTTTCAAAAAAAGAGAAAAGTTCATATATATGATCATATAAGGCCTGTAGGTCCCACGTAATATGCCTATCAGTTCCTTTCAATTTCATTAAAACCTCCTTGGTGTCCGAGAGCAAAAATCCTATTTTAATACTCGTACAAAAAAACTTTTGTAAACCTCTAATCATTGCCTAGAGCTCAACTGCTACCAGTGATGTTGCCACGCATGGTTGTCCTTCTGCAATGATAAGAGGAGACCTGTGAGAGAACATATATATACCAATGGTTGCAGTTTGTGTAGTGGCACTCCAAGAACCATCCACTAAGATGATTAGGAGGTCTGTGAGGAGAGCTTGTAAATTCCAATTTGATTGCAGATGTGGTGGATTCGAAATTCTGAGCTCGGTTTCTTTATAGCTATAGTAACTTTCAGCCTTTCTCAGAATTTGGAAAGGGTCTAGGTTCACTTTGTTAAAAATTTGATCATTTCTTGCATCCCATAAACTTCCAAAAGTGGCACATATCTTTGCAATGTAGTTATACTTTAGAACTTTATTCTGCAAGTGAGAATTATGTTGCCACCACCATTGGATTAGATCCTTTTGGCCAGAGTTCAAAAAAAATTTCTGGAACAAGACCAACCTAGGCTTGCATCCAAACAACTCTTGAGAGAGGACATTCCAAGAAAATGTGCTCTTGGGTCTCTAGAGATTCCTTACAGAATGTGCACCAAGTGTCTTCTCTTGTTCTGCGGATCCATATTTCTATCTTTGTTCGAACATCCTTATGGAAGAACTTCCACATGAAGATTTGACATTTGTGGGAGCATGGGCTTTTCCAGATTTTGGACCAACTCACTATACTTGATTGTATTTGAGGTGGGATCTCTAGGAGTGAGTGGTAAGCTGAATTCATAGTGAATTCCCCATTGTTTGTGTTCTTCCAGAGGAGCCTATTGGGCTGTTGCAGAGTCCTTAAGGGGATGCTTAGGATTGCTTCAACACTTCTTTTTTCAAACATGTTGTTGAGAAGATCAACATTCTAGGTCTAATGATCTGTGATTAAATCACACACTTTTATGTGTAGAACTTCTGGATTCTCAGTTCTTTTGGCCGGTATGTTGCACTCTAGTTGAAGCACCCATGGATCCATGAATGTTGAGATAGATCTGCCATCTCCATGCTTCCAGAAAAAATGAGCTTTTAGTTCATTTTTTAATTTAATAATGCATTTCCACCAAGTAGAGTTTGTGGCTTTTGCTTTCAAATCAAGGAAACGTTGCCCTTTGATGTGTTTTGCTTGTAGTTGTTGAGTCCAAAGGCTACTCTTAAGGTTTAGGAGTCTCTAGATTGACTTTAGCATTAGGGCTTTGTTCATCAAAGAGAACCTCCTTATCCCTAGTCCCCCCAAGGACTTTGGAGAGAAGATTGTAGTCCATTTCATGTTACAATTTTTTGCTGTGTTGGAATTCCCTGCCCACCAAAAGTTCTTCTACAATCTATCTAGGCTTCTACACAGAGCTGAAGGAAGGAGACTTGTTTGCATAGCATACATAGGGATGCTTTGGGTAACTGCTTTAATGAGGGTGGTACAGCTTGCTTGGGAGAGAGATTTTGCTTGTCAGTGTTCTACCCTTTGAGTGATGTAGTCTACCAGATGTTTTTTGGTGTGATTCAAACCATTTTCTCCATCTACTAGCTAGGTTCCAAGATATTTGGAGCTACATTTTATTATCTTCATTTTGACTATTCTGCTCAACAGCTTTTGGTGGGTTTTGTTTATATTTTTGTTGAACATGGCACTAGATTTTGCAAAATTTATGTATTGGCCTAAAATTTGCTCAAAGAGTTTGAGGGTAGTTTTAATCTGATGGAAGGATTCAGGGTTGGCCTTACAGAATAAGAAGCAATCATCTGCAAATAAAAAGTGAGTGATGGGCTCTGAATTCTAGCTAACTTTATTCCTTGAAGTTTTGATAGACACTCTTCTCAATGAAGCATGTTTTAGTCTGCATTCTGATAATGAAGAGGTATGGTGATAGAGGGCCCCCTTGCCTTAAGCCTCTTTTGATAGTAAATAAATCAATGGATGGCTTATTTAGCTTTATTGAGAAGGATAGAGTGGAGATACACTGCCAAGTACTGATACACCCCTTGCACTGTATCAGGGTGTATCAATACTCATCAGTGCTAGATGGGACGCCCATCCTCCAAATCCATCGGATCTCCCAATATACAGATATAGTGTCAGTGGATAAGCGTGGGTAGGAGATCGGGATTCTTGTCACCTAAAGTCTTATGGCAATTATATGGAATCCCGATCTTGTACATGAATCCTTGAGAGAGTATGGGTGTATAGAATTTATACTTCTTTAATTAATTAGCTTTTTTACCTTCTCATCAAACTAAAGTTAACCAAACTAATATTTCTAAAACATGGCTTAGGTGGCCTCATCTCATGAAATGTTGCCAATTTGGCATGATGACTGCCTGACTGGTGGGTCTCGCAATATTCCCATTTAATGAGACGAGATACGTGTCAAGAATATCAGCCCTGAGTTGGGCACCACAATTTCTCCTCGGGAAGGCAACGTGGCAAGTTCTTGCCACATGTCAGTTGCGGGCAAAGGTTGGCCACATGGAGAGACCCTGGACCTCACGTTGAGGCGTTGGTTGGAGTGCACGGGAGAAAGCACTGCACACAGACTTACCGTCCAATCACCCTGAGCTGTGTGAAAGCAGTAACTACCCTCTCCCTCATTTTCATGCATGTGAAGAGGTTAGGTTAACCAATAAAGCCCATTTTTCCTTCTCAGGTCAAAACATCCAAAACGGGTTAGGCTTAATTACTACTAGTGCTAATTGTTCAATTTCTCGATGCTTTTGATTCGGGTAATAAGTAAGGACCTCAGGAATAGGAAAGCTGTTAAATTGGGTGGTTGCTAGTTTGCTATAATCAATCTTTTAAAAATCGACCCGAATGAAATCCGGTTTCCGGGTCTAACGGTTCGACCCCCGGCCCCATATATCAACAACATTTTGAATTTTGAAATTATTTTGGTTTTGGTACTTGGGGCATCTCCAACTCCAAGTAATCCTAGGAAGGTAAGCTATTAAATCGGGTGGTTACTTGGTAACTAGTACTCAAATCGCTATAGACCTTTTTTTTTATATGAAGGACAACTGAAGTTTGACCCGACCAACTGACCCGCTCCATAGTTTCTGGCTTTGGTTGCTTTCCCTTTCATAGTACAGCAGTTTCTACCTGGTGGACAAATGGATCGGGTCGAATCCGAGCATTTTCACATGCATAATATGTTGCAACCTCTTTACAGATCATGCTCTTAACAAAGTAATACATCCAGAAGACTTTCTCAGTTAATAATAGTGAAGGAATTAGAGAAAAGTTAGAGAAAATCTCACTAAGTATACAGGAAATCATCACTAATTGTTGAGTATAGAAACCTTTGTTCTATTTGTTGACATCTAATTCAGTAGTTTACGTTTAACTATTTCTTGGTGAGTAGGGTTTCTCCTGTTGACTTTCAACACTTTCTGGAAAGCAACAGACTTTAACATCTACCATCGCTTTAATGGAAGGCATGTGAATGATGCAAGATTTTTTGTCTTTTTTCACTTGAAGCTGAGATATATGAAGCAACACCAGCCTCTCAGTGATGAGAGGGGGGATTCACATAACAGCCCAAACTCTCCAGTCCCCAGTCCCCACTGGCCACAGCAGAATCATAATTTGTTTATCACTTCCTATTTCATAGTACATTGCCTGAACTGAATAACAAACACCTTCAAGAACCATTAAAACTGATTTCTATACTGAAATTAGCTTCAGCCATAAACCATAGGCCCATAGTTTTGTTTTTCTGTCAAGAAATGCTCCCTAGTGATACAAGAATGGAGAAAGCCAGAAATGAAGTGAAGAAACAGATGCATTTAGGAAATGTTGTGGCAAAGATGAGAAGATTGCCTGGTTTGGTGTGGAAAAAGATATGGACAGTTGGTCGGGAAGATCCGCGAAGAGTCATTCACTCTTTGAAAGTTGGGTTGGCATTAACACTAGTCTCCCTATTGTATCTGATGGAGCCACTCTTTCAAGGAATTGGACAAAATGCCATTTGGGCTGTCATGACTGTGGTTGTGGTGCTTGAGTTTACTGCAGGTAAGAGTCTCCCTCAGATAGCTTTACTGGCCCTAAATGGGCATAGGAGACATTGGTGTGCATAACCACAAGCTTTTCATTGAAGAAATATGTGATCTGATGGTTCCTCTTTTTCACTTACTCATATTTGCTGGTATTTCAGGGGCAACTCTGTGCAAAGGATTGAATAGAGGAGTTGGGACTCTATGTGCTGGGTCACTGGCATTTTTCATTGAGTATATTGCAAATGAGTCGGGTCACATATTTCGAGCTATTTTTATTGCATTTGCTGTCTTTCTGATTGGTACAATTTTTATCTCCATCTGCTTAATTGGTTTCCTTTCATTTTACAGAAGGAAATTTTGATTCTTGAATTCTGTTTAGAATAAATATAAAGTGATTTTCATTTATTTAATGCTGGTTCACTGTCTGAGATTCTCACTTTTACTCCCTCTCATAATCTTTCCAAACTAAGAGAAGAGTTTGAACTTGTACAGGTGCTTCAGCTACATACATGAGGTTCTTTCCATATATAAAGAAGAACTATGACTATGGCATTGTAATTTTCCTCCTAACCTTCAATCTGATTACTGTTTCAAGTTATCGCGTCCACAATGTATTGAAAATTGCACATGAACGCTTTTATACCATTGCGATTGGTTGTGGCATCTGCCTTCTCATGAGTCTGCTGGTTTTTCCAAATTGGTCTGGGGAAGACCTCCATAATTCCATAATCTTCAAGCTTGAAGGGCTAGCAGGATCAATAGAAGGTATGTGAATAACAAAACCACACATAACTGAATGACTCAAGTTTGAAATCTTTCAGCAAAATAAGTCACCATGCATGCTTCAAAATTAGGACATAATAGCTAAAATTCAGCTTCAATGTTCGGCCTGAAATTTTTCATTACTCAGTTCAGCTTGAAAACTTCTTTTTTATTTTTTCATGAGCAGGTGACTCAACAGAGTCAACAAGAAGTTGGCTTAAGAGCTAATAGAATGTCATTCTGTGCAGATTTGATTTGTTAAGACCTAGTTTTTTTTTCTTTTTATTTTTTATTTTTGCAATGCAATTTTATTTGCACTGATGTAAAAATATGAGAGTGCATATGATTTGAGTGCAAATTATGATTTATTTCTGTTTCAGATTTTGCCTCATCTTACCCGTTTACATTGCCAATGGAGTAAAATAAAACCTGAAATAAAAACAAGGTAAAATTCAAAGCAAAAGCAAAATCAGAAATTGAATTCTTTTCATTTGCATTTACATTCACTAGTACTAGTTCAAATTAAATATCATTAATTGGAGATAACACATCATTATATATACGGGATCTGAGATTCCGGTGGTCTTGTATTAACTTATCTCTGGGGGCTGTGGCATCAGAGATCCTTTTGTTAGTATTTCAAATGAGTTAATTGTACATTCATGTCACTGAGTTGATTCAAATTTTTTCATTCATGAATTTGAAGCTAGGCAGTTTGAGTTCACCCACCAGTTTTCCAACTTCTGTGTGTCTATTTGTGCATCCATGTGTTACCATCGTTATAAACCATTCTTTGTTAGCTTATGAGGGTGAATGATGCAGATTGTGTTAATGAATACTTTCAAGATGGGGGAAACAAAACTCACTCACCAGACAATCACATCTACAAGGGCTACAAGGCAGTTTTGGACTCCAAATCCACTGAAGAGACCCTGGTAATTAATCTCTCTCACTATTGTCTGGTATTAATTACCATTTCAATTGAACAATGCCTTACACCAAGGTGCTACACCCTGTTCAATTCTGTATCATTAGTTTTCTATTACTTTACTCTTCATAGGAAAATATAATAAACTAAACACTCTGATGGTTGAAGAGTTGGGTTATTGATAGGGGGAATGACAATTTTGCATTGATCAGGCACTACATGCGAGTTGGGAGCCAAGGCATTCAAGACACTGTTACAGGTATCCATGGCAACAGTATGTAAAATTGGGAGCTGCTCTTCGACATTTTGGATACACAGCTGTGGCTTTACATGGTTGTGTGCAATCTGAAATTCAGGTAAAGAATCATTCATTTTAGTCTTTAATTTTGGTTTATTTTAGCATATACATCATTTATCAGAATCATTATCATCCTACCACTTTTCAATAAAAATAGGATACACTGTGACTATATCTCTTCTAAGTTCTAACAGAGGGGTGAGGCCCATTAGTCTTTAATCTGCAACCTCTGTACCAAGTGAAAAAGCATGTTGGGAACTCTGTCACAAGGTTCTTGTATTCTAAACATTTATTCTAATAACATATATGGTCATGTGGCTCCAAAAGCATAAGCTCCAATATTATCACAAGCTGTAGTAAATTTTATTAATAAAGTAGCTATACATAAGCTCTAGGTAGATATTAATACATTTAATAAGGGAATGCCATTCACTCAAAAAAGATGGAGAAGTAAAGAGATTCTCCAATTTATTGTAAGCATTTCAATCAATAAGATTTTTAGCATTCCTTTGCAATTAAAACAAAAAAAAAAAAAGATTTTGATCTCACCTTTGCACAAATTTTTCCTATTTTAGACATGGTAGAATTTTTATCCTCTACTGATATTTGGATGATTTTGTTTAGACCCCACAGTCTGTCCTTGCTTTCTTCAAGGACCCATGCATCCGAGTAGCCAAAGAAGTATCAAAGGTATTAATGGAACTAGGAGACAGCATTAGGAATCATCGTCGCTGCTCTCCAGAGGTGCTGTCTGATCATCTTCATGAAGCTTTACAAGACCTCAATAATGCCATCAACTCCCAGCCTAGACTCTTCCTCAGCTCCAACCATAAGAAGTCCAGGAACATGATTGCTGCAGCTGCTGCAGTTGCCAATCAAAAGTCTTCCAAGGACTCTGGGGTCTCCTTATCTTCTGTCAAGACTGACACATCAGCATTGCTAGAATGGAGAACCAAACGGGTCAGTGATCATTCAGGGGAATCAGAGAGCAAATCCTTAAGGCCAACTTTGAGTAAGATCGCCATTACTAGCCTTGAATTCTCTGAAGCACTTCCATTTGCTGCCTTTGCTTCTTTGCTGGTAGAGACTGTGGCGAGGCTCGACCTTGTTATTGAAGAAGTTGAAGAACTGGGGAGGAAAGCAAGCTTCAGGGAATTAAAACCTGGTGAAGAACAGATTACTGTGACTTGTGAGAAACCGCGGGCAGGAGGGAATGCTGTGGATTTGCAGACAAATTTGGGTACTGAGGGAACAGTCTGATAAGATGCTTATAGTAATGCACCATAGGCTCTGGAACCTTAATTAGCATTTGGGGTGACTAATTTGTCCTTGTCCCTGCTAAAATAATATGTAGTAAAGAAGGACATCTATGATTCCTCTTGAAAATAATTGTCATTGAGAATTGAAGTCAAACTACAGGAATTGAAACAACTCAGTATTGATTAATTTCTCGATCAAAATTAAAAAAAAAATACTTGGGTTATTTTAGTATGTGGGTTTCACCAAGGTGATCATATGTACGTTGAATTGTGCTATTTTATTTTGGAGCCAATGAGAAACACTTTTTGATCTTAGTTGCCCCACTATTTTCTTTATATTGACCAAATAACCCTGAGTATGCAGTGATCTAAATTCACCAAAAGCTATTTAGATAGGATTTGTTTGGTTTGAAAGAAAAAAATAATAATAATAATAAGAGAATTGCTCAACAACTTTCCCTTCAGTTTTCTGTTTCTCTCTTATTTTCTATCAAACCAAACACAGCATAGGATCCCCCTGGCTGCTCCATAGAAAGCAGGGCTAAGAAAAGAAAAGGCAATATCATTTTCAACCATCACACATTTAACATTCTATATGGAGATGAATAGATGGTTGAAATGATCGGATCATTCTGATTTTTTTGTTGGTATGATCTGTTAGTTTGGACCCATGTATCAGCTCACAAACTCCAAAGGCAAGAAAAGAAGGAATTGCTAAAAGAAATGTAATGGAGCCTAAGTAGAAGGGCTTTTAAGCGTATAAATGACTGACATGGAGATTTTCCAGATGTTTTTGATTCGGGTAAGAAGTAAGAACCCTAGGAAGGTAAGCTGTTAAGTGTTAAATTGGGTGGTTGTTACAATCAGACAATCGGATTGATTTTGGTATTTGGGTAACTCCAATTAATCCTAGAAAGGTAACCCATTAAATCGGGTGGTTACTTTGTACTAGCATTCAAATTGCTGGAGACCTTAGTTTTTATATGGGGGAGGGCAATTGAAGTTTGACCCCACCAACTAACCCGCTCCATGGTTTCTGGGTTTGGTTGCTTTTCCCCTTCATTGTACAGTTTCAACCTGGTTGATAAATGGGTCGGGTCGAATCCAAGTATTTTCACATGCATAATATGTTGCAACCTCTTTACAGATCATGTTGTAAACAAAGTAATACATCCAATACACTTTCAAAGTACTGTGAATAATAGTGAAGGAGTTTGAGAAAAATCTCGTCATTTATATTAGAAACCATCACTATTTGGGGATCCATCATGGAAACCCTTTAATATATGGCTAAATATCTAAAATCTCCCTTGAGAAAAATACTGAAACCTCCCCTCTTTTTTTCAAAATGTTGTAAAACCTCCTCTATTGGATGATGTCACTGAACAAAACCCTCCCGTTTGTTAGCACTTAGCGGTTAGCAATTCGTTAAGATTCATTTGTATATGACCTTATATGAGGATGATTTTTTTAGGTGTTAATTACTTTTATACCCTATATATTTGGAAAATTATTTATATATACCCTGAATAATTTAAACATTCCTTGTTGACTGGCCCCACACAACATAGGACCACCATTAATACACCGTTAATAGATATTAGCACCAACTCCCAAACTCTCTCATAATACTAATGTTGCCCCTAAACTCCAAAGATGAAGCGGGTGTTTGGCATCGATATTGTTTTCTAAGAAAAGTGTTACATTAGAGAAAGTGATGCTTCAAATATTGTCCTCTTGTTTGGTATTGTTTTTCAAAAAAGAAAAAGGAAAGCCAAATTCAATGTTTTATGAGAAAATGTCCATTGCTACCAACTATACAATGATGTGACATTAATGTGATATCTGAATGTTGGATAATTTAGATCAATGTTGAAAACCTTACTGCCAGCATGAAAACGCCGTCTCGGTATATGAAAAGGTGCAATCTCGTAAAAAAGGTGCAATGTTTCCAACACCGATGCAAAACTCCTAAAAAGCTCAAAAATAAGCAAGAATTCAATTATAGTTGTGGATATTGCGTACTCGGTATATGAAAACCCAAAAGGCATGAATCCCGTCAGTGGACTTTGGGGCGTGAAGGCTGAAGAAACCTGTCCAAAGATGAAAAGCTCAAGCAGTGCAATCAAACAGTATTTCTCATTCTCCAATTAAATATTTTTCTTCCTTTTCTCCCTCTCCTAATACCTTTCACTCTCAGCACTTCGGATATCATTTTCACTGCAAAATGTAACCGTTAAGGTTTCATGAAGTTCCCTCCCTCTATTTTGTATTTCTATTCGTTTGGAGTTAGAAGTCGCAAGTCTCAGTTTCTTCAAAGAGTGGGGTATGTTTGAACTCGCAAGTTTCAGTTCTTCAGAGGGTGTTCAACATCAACACCATCGTGGCTGTTTTTCTTGTACAGGAAGAGTAGGGTATGTTTTAAAAATTTAATGAACAGTTAAGGTCATTTTTGTCTTTTAAATTTTATTTGTTAGATTTAACCATTGAAAGGTCAATAACAATAAGGCATGCTTAAGTTGATTTTGAAAGTTTAAAGTATATATAAATAATTAACCTTTTTTAAAAACCTAGTTTTGCCTATTTATGGTCCCTTCGCCTTTAGAACTATGGAAGTGTATTAGGTATACGTGTATTGAGTCGAAACAGCATGGGTAGAAACACATTGCCCAAACCTTAAATGCATCCTTAAACCACTAAGCCATCTTCCCATTTTGTCCTTAAAATGAAGTAAATTAACTTTTATTTACTTTAGTATCTGATCTACATGTAATCCAATTAAATAAACAATAATATACATTTATGTTGAATTAAAAATTAAAAAAGAATAATATTCAAAATTAATATTTTATAAACGATAATGGAATAAATATCTATCAAATTCACATTGATATCAAAAAATGACCCTTAATCTCAACAAATTTATAAAAAAACTAATAATAAAATAATTATTTTAGTAATTAAAATTTATGAATTTTCACATGATATGTGTCTTAGAAAATTTTTACATATTTTTATAAATTATTATTATTATTTTAAATTACATTAAATAACAACATATTTATTATTTACGATAATAAAGATTTTGTTTATAAATATTCGAGTATTTAATATTAAATTGAATCTATCAAATTCATTAACATGCATTTATATTAAAGAATGATTTTTTTTATTTTAAAAAGTTTATAAAAATAATAATAATGGAATAATTATTTTAGTAATAAAAAATTTTGAGTTTGCATATGGTATGTATCTTAGAAATTTTAGTAGAGATGATATAAACTCTTTTTATCTTTAAAAGATACTGTCTACCACACATTGGAGAGTTTAATATTTAGTTAATTTTTTTGTTAATGTGGTAAAAATAATAAAATATAAAATAATTGATTTAATAATTAAAATATAATAACTGTATATGATTTGTTGATGCATTATAAATAAAATTGAATGATATTTATATATGTAATTAAATTATACATTTACCATGTATATATACCTTATTTATGTGATTATTTTACACTTAAATTTAATATTAATAACATTTTGTGGGATTTATAATAATTTTTCTAATGTATCCGAATGTGTCTATATTTTTTCACATCATATACTTTGATCCTTGGCTTGACTGGGACCAGGTACAGTATCCACCAACTTATACACGCTACCTTGATCTGGTGATGCAAACCTTGAGCTGCTACCACTTCCTGATCCGCTCTGAGCCTCTGATGGACAGCCACCTTGGTTCACCATTAGAGGTGTTTGCCAAGGTCTGGTAGCTGATCGAAGTCATGATCGGACTTAACTTGGTAGAGTTGTCCGCGTGATTTGATTAGTTATTTGTTGCTAGAAAATAGGAGAGAAGATCGTCCTTGTTGTAACGTTAATACAAGCGAAGCCAGTGAGATTATAAATGGCATTGTGACTGAAGAGATCTTTTTCTCTTAACAAACGAACCATAATCTTCTCTTTTTGTTTTCCACGTATCACCTGTTCCCTGAACCATCAAAATCAAAATAGCTAATCCAGGCCGAGGGGAAGAGCGTTTGTTGAAGGGGTTGAAGCCTTGAAGGGACCCTTGAGTTGCTTTTGTCGAAACGCTATTACTGTCCACTTTTGGGGACGAAGCTTGTTGGCTCAGGGCTTTGATTTGTTGTTCTTCAAACGAGGCTTTTGACGATGGCACCCTTGTTTTGTTTTGTCGCCCAAGCAACCTCTTCAAGCTGCTGAAGGCCCTGTAAAACGATTCAGGATATTTTCGCCTTCTGGGTGGCCGAAGAATGCCTCGAAATTGCCGGGACTCGGGAGTAGAGATGCATGGTTAGAAGAAGCTTTGCGATAAAGAGCTTCTCAGGGTTGTCGTTCTTGATGAAGTAGACTGAAGTCCCTGCCGGAATCTTTGTCAGATCTCCTCTTGAAGGGCTCTCTCTCTGTTTCATGCCATGCCACAGGAGGGTCATGACCTTGTCCCCAGGTAACGAAGAAGACGGCATCAGCGTCCTCATGGCAAAATGTTAGAAAGGTGTGTTGGGGTTAGCCTTGACAGAGTCTTAAAAAGCTCTGTTCGTCGATTTGGAAATGTGAAAAGAGAGGGGAGGTTTCAGTATTTAAGAGAAACTTGTAAGGAAGGCTTCCTTAAGTTTCTTACCCTTAATCTATTTGTTCTCACCTAATTCAGTAGTTCACGTTTAACTATTTCTTGGTGAAGGGGGTTTCTCTTTCTCCTGTCGACTTCCAACGACTCTTTCTGAAAGCAACAGACTTTAACATCTAACATCGCTTTAATGGAAGGCATGCGAATGATGCAAGATTTTTGGTATTTCTTCACTTGAAGCTGAGTGAGATACATGAAGGAACACCGGCCTCCCAGTTATAAGAGGGGGATTCACATAATAGCCCAAACTCTACAGCCCCTACTGGCCACCAACAGAGTTATAGAACCGAGTAACAAACACCTTCAAGAGACATTAAAACTGATTTCTGTACTGAAATTAGCTTATGAGCCATAAGCCGTAGGCCCATTGTTTGGTTTTTCTGTCAGGAAATGCTCCCTAGTGATACAGGAATGGAGAAAGCCGGAAATGAAGTGAAGAAACGGATGCATTTAGGAAATGTTGTGGCAAAGATGAGAAGATTGCCTGGTTTGGTGTGGAAAAAGATATGGACGGTTGGTCAAGAAGATCCACGAAGAGTCATTCACTCTTTGAAAGTTGGGTTTGCATTGACAATTGTCTCCCTATTGTATTTGTTGGAGCCACTCTTTAAAGGAATTGGACAAAATGCAATGTGGGCTGTCATAACTGTGGTTGTGGTGTTTGAGTTTACTGCAGGTAAGAGTCTCCATGAGATGGCTTTACTGATCTTAAATGGGAATAAGAGACAATGGTGTACATAAGCACAAGCTTTTCTTGGAAGAGATATGTGATCTAATGTTTCCTCCTTTTCACTTACCCATACTTGTTGGTATTTCAGGGGCAACTCTGTGCAAAGGATTGAATAGAGGATTTGGGACTCTATGTGCTGGGTCACTGGCATTTTTCATTGAGTATATTGCAAATGAGACGGGTCAAATATTTCGAGCTATTTTCATTTCATTTTCTGTCTTTCTGATAGGTACAATTCTGTCTCCATTTATTTAATTGATTTCCTTTTACTTTTAATTACAAAAAGAAAGTTTATTCTTTAGAATAAATATACAGTCGTTTTTTATTTAATGCTACATCACTGTGTGAACTTCGTTCTTCTTCCTCTCATAATTTTCTCAACTCAGTGTAGAGTTTGAACTTGTACAGGTGCTTCAGCTACATACGTGAGATTCTTTCCATATATAAAGAAAAAATATGAATACGGTGTTGTCATTTTCCTCTTAACCTTCAATCTGATAACTGTTTCAAGTTACCGTGTCCACAACATAATACATATCGCACATGAACGCATTTATACCATTGCGATTGGTTGTGGTCTCTGCCTTCTCATGAGTCTACTGGTTTTTCCAAATTGGTCTGGAGAAGACCTCCACAAGTCCATTGTCTCCAAGTTTGAAGGGCTAGCAAGATCAATAGAAGGTATGTGAATAACAAAATCACAAAAGAAAAATGAATGACTCAAATTTGAAAATATTTCACCAGAGTCAAGTTAACTGGTTTTTCCATTACTCAGTTAAGTTTGACAAGTTTTTTTTTCATGAGCAGGTGACTCAACAGAGTCAACAAGAACTTGGCTGTTTAATGGAATTTCTTTATAAGAGCAAATAGAATGTCATTCTATGCATATTTTACTTCTTGAAGGATGCTGACACCATTGCATTACCACCTAAATGTCATCCATTGAATATCATATCATTATTCCAATATTCTGGATCTCACATTCAGGTGGCCATGTATATGCTTGAATCTGAAGCTAGGCAGCTTGGATTCATCCACAGTCTTTCAACTGAAGTGTGTTTGTACATCCTTCTATTACCATCAGTATAGACCATTCTTTGTTAGCTTATGAGGGTGAATGATGCAGCTTGTGTTAATGAATACTTTCAAGATGAGAAAATTAAAACTAAATCACCAGACAACCACATTTTCAAGGGCTACAAGGCAGTTTTGGACTCCAAATCTAGTGAAGAGACCCTGGTAATTAATCTTTCTCACTATTGTCTGGTTTTAATTATAATTTCAATTGAATAATGCCTAATACAAAGGTTGTTGTACCTTGTTGAATTCTGTATCATTAATTTTCTATTGCCTTTCTCTTCATAGGAAAACATATTAGACTGAATGTTTTGATGATTGAACAGTTAAGTTATTGATAGGGGGAATGACATTCTGCATCAGGCACAACATGCTAGTTGGGAGCCAAGGCGTTCAATTCATTGTTACAGGGACCCATGGCAACAATATGTAAAAGTGGGAGCTGCTCTTAGACATTTTGGATACACAGCTGTAGCTTTACATGGATGTCTGCAATCTGAGATTCAGGTAAAGAATCATTCACTTGAGTCTTTAATTTTTGTGTATTTTAGCTTACACATCATCATCAGTATCATTATCATCTTACAACTGTTCAATAACAATAATACATTGTGATTTTATCTCTTCAAGCTGAGGGATAGTGATGGCATGTGAGACCCATTACTCTTAACCTGCAATCTTTGTACCAAGTGAAAAAGTATGTTGGGAACTCTGTCACAAGGGTTTTTGTATTTTAAGCATTTAACCTAATAACATAGCCATGTGGCTTCCAAGGGTTTTTGTTTCATCCTCACCTTACAAACCAAAAGAATAAGCACCATTTCATCACAAACTGTTAATTTTTTATTAATGAAGTATCTATAGCTATGCTCTGGGTAGATATTAATCCATTTAATAAGGGAATTCTATCTGTAATGGAGATATCAAGTTAGTGTGGTCATCCTGGGATGTTATTCACTCAAAAGAGATGAAGAATCTATTAACCTAAGAGATTCTCCAATCTATTGTAAAAATTTCAATCAATAGATAATTAGCATTCCTTTGCAAGAAAAAAATGAACTTAACCTCACCTCGGGAAAAAACTTTGCCTAGTTTTGATATGACAGAATTTTGATACACTACTGATATATTTCGATGATTTTGTTTAGACCCCACAATCTGTTCTTGCTTTATTCAAGGACCCATGCATCAGAGTAGCCACGGAAGTTTCAAAGGTATTAATGGAACTAGCTGATAGCATTAGGAACCATCATTGCTGCTCTCCAGAGGTGCTGGCTGATCAACTTCAGGAAGCTTTACATGACCTCAATAATGCCATCAAGTCCCATCCTAGACTCTTCATTGCATCCAAACATAAAAGATTCAGTCAGAAGTCCTTCAAGGACTATGGGATCCCCTTATCTTCTGTCAAGACTGGCTCATCAGCATTGCCAGATTGGCGAACCAAACAGGTCACTGATCATTCAGAGGAATCAGAGAGCAAATCTTTGGGGCGAACTTTGAGTAAGATCGACATTACTAGTCTTGAATTCTCTGAAGCACTTCCATTTGCTGCCTTTGCTTCTTTGCTGGTAGAGATAGTGGCAAGGCTTGATCTTGTTATCGAAGAAGTTGAAGAACTGGGCAGGAAAGCAAGCTTCAGAGAATTAAAACCTGGTGAAGAACAGATTACTGTAACTCGTGAGAAACTGCAACCAGGGAAGGCTGTGGAATTGCAGACACATTTGTGTGCCGAGGGAACAGTCTGATATGGGGCTTAGTAATGCACAATAGGCTCCAGAGGAGCCTTAATTGGCATTTGAGGTGATTAATTTGTCCTCGTCCCTGCCAAAATAATATGTTTATAAAATACTAATTTTGAAGATTATTCTTTTTAATTTTTAATTTTTAGTTGAACATGTGAACAGTAAATTAAACAAAACTTATTTTATTTGTTAGCAAGACATGGGAAGATGGTGTCAAATGAAAGTTGAAAAGTGTCACTGCCCTGAGTGCCCTCAAAGCATAGATACCTCTCTGTAATTTTTCTAAATTATATGTACAGTCACTTTTTTCACGGTGGATGTTAATACCACCTCATGCAAGGAGCACAACTTTGAGTCTGATTATTGATTATTCACGGTGGATGTTAATTGACCAAGTATATTCCTACTGTTTTGGATATTTTCTAACGTTATCCCTACTGTTCCGAAAAATTACCGATTGTCGTTAAATATTGACGGAAGGGCTAAAATGTCTGTTTTACCCTTACATTCAATTTACACGCAAGGAGCACCATCCTTCGCCTGTGACGCTGTAATTTTCGGACGGCGGTGTAACGGTGAGAGGAAAAAGGCAGCAGAAGAAGAGAAGAAGGCCAAGAAGAAGCTTCCCAAGATCGGCGGAGAGAAGTCCGAGCAGTTCCAGAACTTACTTTGGAATCTTTCAGATCTGAAAAAAAAAGCCCAGATTTGAGATTTGAAAGATACTCAGAAGCGGGCATTAGCATTGCAACACAGAACTGATTTTTTCTTTCTCCTCTGCTGCGAGCGCTTCCGCTTCCTCTTCTCATAGCTGATCCCCCTTCCCTTGGCTTGCAACTCACGAGCCACACATAAGTAGAGCCTCACTGCTCGGGCATGGCTTCCGGCTTTCCACCGTGCTCCTCAAAGGCAGCTCGGAGACGTCCGATTAGAGGATCGAGGCTTCCCCAAGCATGACGGAGTGGGCGTGGACACGGTGCAAGGGGATTCGTATGGCCGAAGAAGGGGCACATTTGGGTGTGGACGATCTTCCCGAATTGGTTGAGATACCGCAGCCGCTGCACCTGGAGAGAAATAGTGGAGGCACGTAGTTCTTTAGGTATTGGTCGAAGGTGGCCGGAGGTATTCTAGTCTCGATGCTTCTGCCTCTCACTGGGACAAGATACTTTAATAAATACTTTGAACTTTGGTTACCTTCGACAATACTTTGGTTACCTTCTAGCCCCAAGTGTATATAGTGTTTCAAAGTATCGAAAAGTTCCAAGTATTTATTAAATACTTTAATAAATTATAAAAATATATCAACAATACTAAATACAAGAACTCAATAAGGTCTATATATATTAAATTAATATATTTTAATGGTTTTATGAAGAAATATTTTATAAGTAATTATAATTTTATTAAAAATCTTATGCTTAATTATAACTTTTAAGTTTTAATATTTTATAGGATGGGAAAAACCCAATTCTCCTATYCAACCATTGGCATAACTTTTATGTGAAAATAATAATTATTAAAGAAGAAATTTCAATTGGTCTATGGATATGATAGATCATCCATAGAATTATAATATATTCAATTATTGTGATCAAATGATAAAATATAATTAATTATTATTTATTTTTAATTCTAAAAATATGAAAAATATAAAAATATTAAAGAAGAAATTTCAATTGCTCTATGGATATGATAGATAAATCCATAGATCTAAAACATATTTAGTCTTTATACGCAAAGAAAAAATTGCATTTTTAAATTTTTTGTTAATTTATATTTTCCCTAAATATCTTCATGAAATTTCCATAAATTTACTGATAACACAAAAAAAAATTGTGATTTTGAATGTAAGAAATGTAGATCAACTTAAATTTAAACATTAAAGAAAAAAAAAGAAATCAGAAGATATTATAAAAAATTGAAAAAATTTACCTATTTTTGCCATATTTTTTAAAAATTTGAAAAATCTTTAAAAATATTAACGATTCACATTTGTTTCTTGTAAACTTTTGCAAATCTAGCACTCTAGGAATGAAGTATGGAGTTTGCGTCATTTGGGGGTGAAATAAGTCTTATTTTGGGGAAAAGAAGATTGCTTTTCCCTTTAATTTTGTTTAGTTTTTGTCCATATCTTTTTCGTCGATTGTCAATAGTGAAACAGTAAGAGTACTTAGTCAATTAGCTAAGCCATAAGGGAAGTTTAAGAAATTTGCCCTAAAAAAAACAATATGATCTTTGCTACGTGGCAAAATTTTTATTGATCTATAACTTGTTACATGAAAAGGTAATGATGTGAAAAATGAGTCAACTCATTATAGGGGTGAAACTTGGGTTCAGGTCAAACTTGAGGCAAGGATACCTCATCTAGGGGTGTAATTCAAGTTGGGCGGGTTCGGATTTGGCATTTTATTAAAATTTGAATGGGCCCGGTCTGGTTCAATATAAATTAAGGGTAAATTTCTGAAATCTCCCTTAAGGTTTTGGACTGTTGTTAAAACCTCCCCTGAAGTTTGGCAATATCAATTACCTCTCCTAAACTTTTTGAAACAATTGTAGGTAGAACACCTCTATTAGAATTCTATAGAAAGAGGCACAAAAATGTCCAAAATACCCATACAATTACTAGTGAGGTTGTTTTCTATAGAAAAAAAAAATAATACAAACTTTATGAAAATAATAAGAGAGAGAGAGAGAGAGAGAGAGAGAGAGAGAATTTAAAGTTGTAGCTTTACCTTGGAGCAAGGAGAAGTGATTGTAATTACCAAACTTGAGGGGAGGCTTTAAGTTTTAACAATAATCCATAACTTTAGGGGAGGTTTCAGCAATTGACCCTAAAATTAAAATTATATAAAATGGACGATTAAGCTTGGCTACCCTACCCATGAGCCTAGCCCAACCCATGTTCTCAAGTCGGGAGTTGTCCCTAACAGATCTCTAATTATTTTGAATCAATTCAGCGGTCCAACCAGAATTTTTTATGACTTCTGACTTACATGCATGTGGTTGAATTGGCGCCTAGCAGCTTTGATGGGCTCTTCAAACCCTTACTCTGACATGCACTGTGTTCTTACCTTTCAATTTTAGTTTTCTCTGATGCTTTTGCGTGCATCATTGAGAGCAAGGTTCAAAATATTGATACATCCACTGTAAGCCCTTTTTTTAGTTTTTTCTTTTCAATCTAGTTTAGAGGGTTCGATTTAAAGCCCTTCTACCCGAAACAACCCAAAACACCCACTATAGGGGCATATTGGGAAGCCACCGATACAATATGTATCAAAATTTTGAACATTGGTCGAGAGTAGCAGTGATGATTGGAGAACAACAGCAAACTAGGTTAAAGGTCTACTGAATGGACCTAACTAATCAATCGGTGAAGATCTGCACATGTCTTTGTCTATTTTCTAATATATTAAGATGCCTAGTTTGATGATCACCATTCATTTGTCTATGTTATCATTCTATGTAGTTACAAACTTGTGAATTTTTCCACAGTTAGACCAGTCAATCCGAAATTGATCAATCTGTGACCCTTGATCCTTTATCAAATTGTGTCTGAATTGATGCCACATCACGGCTTGAGTTTTCTCCATTACCCCAACAAAGAATTCTCAGGCCTTCTCATTTTAGTCTTTCTTGCTCCCTCGGGAAGCCACTTCTTCACTCCCTTTTCCCTCTCTCATAGTGACACCTCGTCATGTCCGGCCCACCCCTCTTTCCTCTATGTTTATCGCTTTGGATATCCCTTCCTAAAACTACTCCTAAAATCTCTCTCTACCAAAATCTAATTTAATCTAGCCAGGTGGCACCACTATCCCCCACTTTCTCCTAAATTATCTATAACTCCTATCTATCTCCCAAATTATCTCAAATTCAGTAGAGTTTCTCTCTTAAATTATCTCTAATTCCTATTTATTCTCTCCCCCACTTTTCATCTAATCTATCAAAAGAAAGTTTGAATTAAAAATTTTAAGAATTATTTAAATATTATAATAAAATTATGTAATAACTTTAAAATATTTATTAAAAACACAAAAGATATCATAGATTTATTAACATTCATACTATTCATAATTTTATACTTTTATGAAATTCATAACGAAATTGTGTACTAACAATATAAATTATAATTTTACAAATTATTCAATTTAAATATTATTCAAATAATAAAAATTAAAAAATTATTAYTTAAAATTTTCAATAATTAAATATTATAAGTAAAAATATAAAAATATTTAATGTTATGTAATAACTTTAAAATAAATAAAATTTAAATAATGAAAATTTTTAAATAACAAAATTATGTAATAAAATTTAAATAGTTAAAATAAATAAATTATGTAACTAAATTTTAAATAGTTAAAATAACTAAATAACTAAATAACTAAATAACAAAATTTTATATACTTCAATTAACAAAATTATGTAATAAACATAAAAGTTTTATTAAAAGTAGAAAATCGTTATAATAGATTTACAATATTTGAATTAATAATAATTTTGTATATTACAAAATTAATAACAAAATTATATAATAATAGTATAACTTATAATTTTATTGATTATGAAATTCGATAAATAAGTAATATTGAAATAACTAAATAGTTATATGATTTAAATAGAAGAATGATATTGTAAATAACTAATTTTAAATATTTTTTATACTAAAATAGTTAATAAATAAATCATATTTTAAATATTATTTAAAAACAAATAGAATAGATTAAATAAAGAAATAATGTAATAACCTTAAAAATTTTATCGAAAACAMAAAAATAGTTATAAWAGATTTAATAATATTTGATAATAAGAATACAAAATATAAATAATTTAAATTTTTTAAAATAACGAAAAATAGATTAAATAATTTAGAGGTATTGAAGCTTTCAAATAACAAAAATAGGTAATAACTTTAAAAAATGTTTTTAATAGATATTAAAAAATATAATAATAATTGCAATTATTAATGTACTAATGATAAAACATTATTTAACTTATATCAATTTATTATTCTAGAAAAAATTTCAGAAAATTGATATTTATTAATAATAATTTTAAAACCTTAATCTATATTACTATATATATTTATATATACTAAAATTTATATTTATTGTAGTTTTTGTGATAAATATATTTTTAATATTTATGCATGAATACTTTTTGTTTTGTTATTTAATAGAAAATTTTCAATATATATATATATATATATATATATATGTTAGAGTAGAAACATGCCATGTCATGGGCTTAGCTTTCTCCCTTATCCCAACTGAGAACTCACAAACACTTTTCACTCCCTTTTCCCTCTCTTATAATGAATTATTTAATCTATTTAATTAATTAACAGTATTAGCAATACATTATCTAATAGTATTTATTAATTAATTACCATAATTAATAAAAAATACCTTATTTAATTAAATATCATAATTAATAAAAAATATTATTACAAAAATACATCTAATATTGTTAAATAATTAAATAAATACTATAATTAATAAAAATATTGTTAA